TGTACTGATGTGCCATACACCAGGAGGCTGTGTTCCTTCTTCCTTTGTGAATTTGAAAGTTTGTAATTCAAAGAAAGCAGATTTCTTTCTGGCTAGCCAGTCGCTTTCTTTACTTAACACTGGAATTTCTAAACAGGCAGTAAAGATAAGGTTTATATCCTATTGTGGCTATTAAAGCACTTGCAAGAGTTCCACCTTGCTTTAGTTGTTTGGGGTGGATTAGTGGGGGAAGTTGGGGTGCACCTCCGAACCCTGGGGGGAAGTGCTGCGGCGCAGGCTCAGAGCCCTAACCTTCTGGGGGGTTACTGATGCTGGGAGGGGTGCCGAGTTCTGCCCTGTTAGTTCGGGTGGCAATAGCTGCAATTTAAGTACACTATTAAGAAAAAAACTTGCCGTTGCCAGAGTCTGCTGCACAAAGGTGGGCAGCTTGAAGGCACAAGACTGGAGTGTGAATTTGTGCGCGTTTGCTTTTCTTTCCCGAGTTGAAAATACATAGTGCCGTTAAAGTATATTTGCAAAGCACTGACTAACAAATGAAACACAAAATGCACTCATTTATATGCTGCTTGCAGCCTGCAGTTGCTGGCGATTCGACGTGCAGGTTGACTGTCCTCGCACTGCAGCGTTGCCCCGCTCTTGCCCTACATCCCGCTTCCTACCGCCCAGCGTCCTCACCGAGCTGAATGGTGTCTTTGTTTGGGAAGAATGCAAACAAAATTCGTGCTGTCTGAAAAGGGCTAGCTCATCATTTGTAGCTCTGAAATGGACTGGAAAATAACTTTTTCTCCCTCCCTCTTGTACCGATGGCATTCTGTCTTTCAGTTTTTGAGAACACTTTCACTTTTTGTGGTTTAGCGACAGAAGAGTGATCTTCGCAGAACCTTGGCAGGGGCTTGAGGAGGTGTAAAGCGATATAGAACTGTTTGGATGCAGTGATTATGGATTTAAAACACGCTGTTCTGCTGACACAGGTCCCGGGTCTTCATTAAGGTCTTTCATCTGAGAGCAACGGAAACGCAGAACCGTTGAGCAAATAGTTCTGTAGTCACCAAGGCATTTGGTTCTTTCAACTTCCGCAAATAAAGGCGGAATGCTTTGTCGGAAGTAGTTGACAATAACCTCTGCTGATGTAGGGACGGAAGATTTTTGACTTCGGTGTCCCGGTGCACAAGGCTGAGCTTCCAGCTTCTGAAACTCCTCTTGGTCTGTGTGCTTACAGTGACTAGGCAGAAATTACTTCCAATATTTGTGTAAGGGCAGATCTTGTTTGCACATACCGTGAGATCAACTAATGGTACTTCTTAAGCCTTGATACTTGAAGACCAGTAACCTAAAGAATCCATAAATAGCTCTGTCTTCTTTTTTTTTAAAGCTACTAATTCAGTTTTTGGTCAGAGCTGGGCCCCCATATGTTGCTATAAGCAATTGGTAGAAGACTTGAAATTGGAAGGAAACCTGGAATTGAGCCAGAAACCTGGGATGATCTGCCTGTAAGGAGATTTCACTTTTAAACTGAGAGCTGTACTGAAGAGTAACAAACGTTTCCAAATCTGTATTTGAAAGTATGAAGTTATAATAAGTGTTTAATAGGCTGGAAGTATACTTCCATGTTTTTCTGTGAATTCCAGTTTGCCCTGTTGAAGTTGATTAATATCCTATTGATACTTAATGAGGGAGTAATTTCACGCTCATTTTTAATTCATTAGTTCTGTCATTAGTCTCCTGTGATAGTTGTATGTCCATTCTGCATGCCATTCAATTTTTATACCCGTTACCCTCTTAAACTCTTTCCTGAACTTAATGTTACTGTAATCTCTTCTCTCGGAAGCCTTTGTGTTTCTGCCAGTATAATGTTGCCAGCAACTTCTTTGGAAAGACCTAGAATGGAGTGGGCATTATAGTGATGCAGAAGGCTATTTTTTCCAGTCTGTTAAAACTACTTTGAAAGTATTTAGAGGCAAATAGTTGCTGCTATTTATAACCATCTTTCTGTTACAAAGACTGAACTAGTATTATAGTGTAGTTGGAATGGAAGCTGAGTATAACAAGGGATTAAAGATTTATTTTATCCCCAAATACTGGAGTTAGCTAAGTCCCTCTCAGCGCAGAGAAGAGTTAATTTCTTTGGCTGGGTTAATAGCTTACTTTATCTTAATGCATAAAAAGTGGCTGTCAAACATCCTGCTTTATCGGGGCAGAAGTGTTGCTGCATGCAATACTTTTATTTATGATCTTTTGGCAAATGCTCTATTTATTTGTTAGATAGCGTTGCTGTGGAACACTACATCATAGCAAAGAACTTGGTTAAATGCTGCAAAACGTGAGGATAAAGTATTTGAGGCAATTCTGTATGTTTGGCTATTAATCATTCAGTGGGTTTATTTTTCAAACCACATACATATGATACTAGCTATATTAATTCATAAAAGTAACTTAATGTGAATGTTGAAATAGTGCTTTGACTAATTGGAAAAAAATGAAGCACTGGCCTGAAATGGAGGTCTTGAAGCTCTCAAGCTGAGGTCCTAGAACTAGTGGACAACCTCGGCCCTTGGTCCCTGTGCTGCTTTAAATCCTTACAAATGGGGAATTTTTGCCCCTTTACACTCCAACTCGTGTTTATGAAGTACTTGGTAACTGTAAGAGGCTCCGTGAGGAGATGCATTTGGTAATTGTTTAAGGGTTATTCTTCATTTTCCTTTTTGGCCGCATGTGCGGTAGGTGTCCATTGAGCAAGTGCCGTCCCCATTCCTGCCCCTGCGCTACACAGGCCGGTGGGGAGGGGGATTCTCCTCCCTACCACCACCTAAAATTGTGTAGCCTTTCCCAGAGAGGCTCTGGTATCTTGATTTTTATGTGAAAAGATTTTACTAACTTGTAAATGTTAAAATGAAGTAGTGTCTGCACTAGAGCTAAAAGGAGTTGGGCTTGGTGGAGTTTAAAGCAGACTTCCCATGTAGACTTTTTGCACAGTACCGTGTTTCATAAGTTCTATTTAATCTTCCTTGGTATAAAATGACCTTGTAGATTTAGGGGGGAAATTTGTGATTGCAGCTGCTGCCTTTTGAAAACTCTAAATATAAACAGATTTTTGGAAAGCGTGAAAAATTATCAGCAGTGTTTTCTTTGAGTTGAATTGAAAGTCAGAACTCTGGCATCTGATTACTGTCAGAGCAGTTTGAGAAGATGGATTGCAGCGTTCCTGTTCCTCTGACGCAGTCTGTGCTGGTAATTCCTGTAGGCAGTTTGGGGAAGAGGAGGTTGAAACGGGACATGGTCCTCCAGCCTCTTCTGCTGTGGAGGAGCTGGCAGGGGAGGTTCTCCCGGCCTGTCTTGCATGGCATCCGTTTTGCTCTGAGCCCGTCTCTTCTGGGGAAGAGCGAGTAGTTTTGTGCACGTTGCACAAATGAGATTTCACCAAGGGCTTGCACAACGGCGCTCATATCTCCCTGCCTCAATGGAAGTTTCTCACCGGGTGCTTGCGAGACTGTGTTTGCTTATTCGAGGCTTGCTTCTCCATCGGGTCTGAGTTACTCTGTGAAAGTAAAATGGTAATCTCCGTCTTTCTTCTTTGTCATCTGACAGCAGCTGCTGGTTCACGGAAGAAATTCTTAATTAACAGGCATGTAAAGTTGTGTTTTGTACTGCTGACACCTGCCCTTTGTGTTTATTCTGTCTTGAAGTTTATCTGTTTATTTTAACCATCCTTTGTACAATGCCTCTCACTTTTGTAAGCAGTAGACTTCAAACAGGACAACTTATTATACCAGAATTAATAATGAAACTATTAAATATTAGTTACAGTACCGATCTCTGCTAATGATCTCTCTTTGGTTTGATAGTTTCATCTTTCCCTAGGCTTCTTAGGACAGTTCTCCATCTCCTCGGTCCTTTCAAATCTTACAGTAACTCACTTCCTTGTACTACCATTTCAGCTTCGCTACAAATTAACATGTGAATTATTTTGTATTAGTCGGTATTAAAAGGAAAAAAAACCTTACTCATACTTGTGAGTTGTGGTTGCACACCTCTGTCGAGTCCTGCTTTTTTTTACCACGTCGGAGGCTGGAGCGGGGATGGACCAGGACGAAGAGACGTGGCGGTTGGGTCCCAACTTAGCTGATAACTTGCCTTTTATTGCCCCTTGAAAGCTTTGTGTTGCTTAAGCCCTTCTGCTTACACTACTGGAGCTTGAGATTGACTGTCTCTAAACCACGCGTGTGTGTGTTCAGCTCAGGAGACAGTTTAGGGCTTCTGCTGCTTGTTTCAACGGTGTAAAAAGCAAAATAGCTGGTTTTAATAGTCTGGAGTTATGTCACGTGCTCTGGCGTAGGCTCTCTGCCTGCTTTGAGTTTTGTTAAACAGGCAGTAAATGGTAAGATTTCTATAGTTAATGTTATTCTTACAGGTAGATTACTTCAGAAGATGAATGGAGAGAACCTTGGGGAAAAGAGGCGGGGTTTTTGGAGAGGTTTCTGAAATGGTGGTATCACAAGGATTAGTTCAGAGTAAAAAAAGAAATTAAAATTCACTACAATACTTTGCATAATTTTTCAGCATATGCAAGTAAGTTTAATAATTTTGGGGGAAATAATCTTTTTAAAAACAAAACAAACAAAGAAGAAGAAAGCTTGCTTTGTTGTTTAGGATGCTTAAATTTATACCCAAACTCCCAAATTTCTTTTTGGAAGTTCTCCAGAAAGATGGCAAATTCTGATGTTTTCCATTCTTAAAAACAAGCAAGAAACTTAAAACCTTTTACAAACCAGATCACCTTAACAATGTTAGCTGAAGGTGTCTGTAGACCCTTTGAGGCCCCGTTTGCCTTGGTTGGCACGCTCCTCTTGCGTTCCAGCTTACTTGGACATCCTTGGCTTACCTGACGATTGAGTAAAAGAGGAAAAAAGCTGTTCTTCTGTCTGGAGCAGTTGTGAGTTGATGTGGAATTGCTTTTGTGTAAATAAATACTAATTACTTATTTGTATGTTTGTCTATTTTAGGGATAGACTTCAAGATTAAAACTGTTGAATTACAAGGAAAGAAGATCAAGCTACAGATATGGTGAGTAATACACCCAGGAAGCTCCGGGGTGGCATCTGTCTGGATGGCTGCTTTCAGAAGCAGGTTTTCGTGAGAAGAGTTTACTCTTCCCAATATTACATTCAGGTATCTAATTTTGTAACTGTATTTTGCATTTTCAGTAGTGCTAAAGGTCCATGTATGTATTTCCCTGAACTTTTTTTAAGAAACGGGGAAGAGATCTGTGTTGTGCTTGTAACCACTGTCGCTGACTGCTCCCTTGGACAGGCTGTTGGCAGATCTCCTGTTTGGGAGGACAGGATCCTCGCCGTCTGTGATTTAGTGGGAAGTGTTTTAAACCTGGAATTTTTTAATTAGGAGTTGCTTTGAATTTATGACCATAAATTGACTAGTAGCCTTGCTTTGTGTCAGCGAGGAATTGTAATCCACATCTAAACTTACTTTACATTTTTCCATGGTAAGCTGGAGAGTTTCTCAGCTGGCTGAAAACAAGACTGCTTTTCCGTAGGAAAGCCTAACATGAGGCAAAACTTGAACTCTTTCCTTTTAGCTTGCTGTCTAACTAGAGACTTTTCTTGTGGTTTAATAGCCCTGTAACAAGTCAGGTCAGGAAAGCTAATGGTTTTCCCTAGCCTGTATGTTTTAGACTCCCTCCTCAACCGCATACGCGTATTGCTGGTGCGTTCTCCAGCGTTACTGAGAGTCTGGAACTTGTATTTGTTTAGAACATGAATTTGCCCATTTTGGCCCCCCAGTAATAAAAACATTTTATGGCTTGATAATGTTGATGTTTGTAGATGCAGATGGATGGGTTCCAGTTGGGAGGTGGCACCAGTCTTCCTCCGTCTGGGCGCAGGACCGGCTGAGCTGTTCTCCTTCCGAATGAATGTGTGCTGAATGCCCCTCGTTACCGCCACTCCGAGCGCGCGCCTTGCCTCCTAGGTGTTGCTCATACCCCAGTCTATGAGCACCTCCTTCGCAGAAGTTGGCCACCTCAGTTAATTTGTTTTGTGTCCCGCAAAGGAAGGAGCTGTCTGCGTTGATTTTGTTGTATATAAACTCCGTAGCGGGTCGATAAGGAAGCACTTGGATGATGAAGCAACCGAGTGCGCTGGAACGCTGCGGCGGGGAGCCACAAAGGGTAACCGTGTTCGTCAGGGCAGCGTTTTAGATGGAGCTGTCTGAGGAAGGATGGGTATAGATCAACCGGGAGCCGAAAGCTGAGCAGCGGAGAGGAAGGAACCGAGAGCATTAGCGAGAGGCATGCAGGTGTAATGCAGCTTCATTGATTGACTGCCTGGGCAGCTCTTGCCGCACGACTTCGCCGGACTGTTAACATTCAGATTTTTCAACCCAGATCAAATGGTGACTCCTAACAATTGTTTTGAGTTGGATTTTTTTACCCCAGCAGGGTAGGTGCTGGGAATTACTGTGGGATACAAGGGTAGGGCAAAACACTGGAACGACTTAAAGGAAGTGTTAGATTAAATTTAGGACAAAATTGTCGTGAAATGTAAGACCTGAAAATGTGGACTACTTGAGGATGTTTAATGTGTATGTTGACAAGCAAGCCATAAAGAAGCTGTATGCATTGTGGGGTTTAGTGGCTTAGGGAAACAAAGAGGGGTTTGAGTGAGCTGAGCTTTATGAGATTGCAACTTATAAACATTGCAAAGTTGGAAGATCATTGTCTGAATCTGCTTCTTGTTCCTGCCAGCTTAAAATTTCACATTTGAAATGAAACTTGGAAAGCAGAAAATGAAGTTCTGATGGCATGTGCTTTTTGGGGAAAAAAACCAAACCAAACAAACAAACACAAACAAACAAACAAAAAAAAAAAAACACACACACACACACACACAAAAAAAAAAGAAATCTAGGCTTTGTAGTTTTCAACTTTTCCTGTACAAGGAGTTTCGCCCAGCAGTGGTTTGGTGGCTACAACAGTAGTGCCTTTTGGTGAAGATACTTTGTGCAATGCATCTATTTTTAATCACCACTTCCTGTATTTAAACTTGCCCTGTACTGCTAGCAGTTGTGTAACGTATTTCCAGAACTACACTTCACTCCCACTGCAGCAGTTTAGCAAGCAAGGGATGCATTTAGTGGAATATTTCCCTTGTAAACCCGAGGCTGCTGTTGTAGCTTTTCTTGCATCCAGAGTATGGGTTGTGCTTTTATAACTGAAGTAAACCCAGGAGGTGATGTACCTGAATCAGCAGAACCTGTCTTCCGAGTCGTCGGTGCCTATCCACTGGGACACAGCTCCGTACTTGATTAACCTGGTCAGAAGATAACAAGGGACCGATGGTGAAGAGAAAACAGAGTTTTTCAGTTAGAATTGCGTTGCAGGCGTGCCTGTGTTTGTGTGTCCGTGCTCAGAGGAGGAATGCCCGCCGTTTCACTTGCGGGTCCCCCCATCTGGAGAGCGCCTCTCCTCTCGCCCTGTTCCTTGCACGCCCCACGAGCGTGGGACCAGCTGCAGCTCCCCAGAGTGCCACCGTGTCTTTGTCCAGCCTCCCATAATGCTATTTTCTCGCTTCCTAAAAGTCGCTTTTATTAGAATGAGAGGTAATTTTGCCTTGTCATTGTTATCATCATCATTACTATTATTACCGATGCTTATTCAGATTGAAACTTTTTTTTTTTTTTCAGAATAGTGACATTCAGCTGTTTGCGAAATGACAGATGGTGACGGAATTTTGTACCTTAAAGAACTTAGTATGTGTTAGCTGCTTCCCAAATATGACAGAGTTTCTTTACATACAGTTGCTCAATATTTATGAAGGAGCTGTGTTCAGTGAGCCGTCACTGGCAAAAGTGACGGCTGGACAAACCTGTCACTCACAGAATAAGGTTTCTACATCCATGGGAGTGATTAAATATTTGATTATGTAGTATTTGTTATTTACATAGGTGAAAAGTGTATTTCTTTTCACATACAGCCATAGAAATAAACTGTCCCTCAGTTCAAAATGACTATATTGATCTGCCTCTCACTGATCCGTATAGTCCTCCATCACCCACATATTAAATCTTTCTCGTGCTGTTGTCCTGGTGGAGGAGTTGCTCTCTGGCTGCCTGCAAAGCTGTGTGCCTGTGTTTTGCCGTGGCTAGTGCTGGCTTTTGCACTCCTTGGTGGGGGTGCAGTCGCAATGGGCAATCAGCTTTACAGAAAACAGGTCAAAGCCACACTTTCTAGTATAGCACAGCTCCTTTCCCACACAGTGGGTTACCTACCTGTTTCTCTTCCTGGGTGTAGAAAATTAGCAGACGTGGCAGTATCTCACTCATGCCTTGACCTCTAAAATACATATATATATATGTAGGTGTGTAGAGCAAGAATGCAGAGGTCATGCTGAGTTAAACTTTGCCAGAGGTGATAAGCAACTTGATACTTCATAGCTATTAAAAAAGTGGGGTTGCTGTTCAGTAAGGATCGAGCCAGGATTAAAGCCTTTCCATAAACTTGCCTGTTGCCAAACGATGTGGAAATGGGGAAGGGGAGGTTGGGACAAGAGGAGGTGGAGAACGGTGGGACCGGGCAGCAAGTGGGAGCAAATCTGTGTGGATGGAGCTTCCGGAGGAGCCTCGGCGAGGCTGGGCAAGGCCGGTGCGGTGTGCGGGCTGCAAGCAAGGAGGAGGATGGGACAGAGAGCTCAGGCCTGGCCTGCAGGAATGAGCTTGTTCAGGACAGATCCATCAGGAGGACTACTGGCCTGTGAAGTTGTGGGTGGAAGCATGTAGAAGCATCGAGAATCACCTTAGGTTTCGTTAGGTTATTGTACTACTTGTCTGTTTAAAAAAACTGTTGATGTGACAGTATATGATACGATGCCGTATGGAAAGTCACTCGTGGTGGGCTTAGTACAGCATTTGGGAGAAAGGAATTGGAGTAAAGAGTTGGGAGTGGAAATGCTTATGAAGGGTGGGGCCTGGGAGGGTTGACACTGATGAATGTGTTTGAAAAAGATTAATACAGTAATGCTGATAGTACAGAGAAGGGAGGGAGAATAAAAGGACCAAAATGAGAGGTTACTGCTCTTGGAAAAGGTGGTGGTGTTGCAAAAGCTTTAGAGGAACGGGGTAGTAGAGGTAAGAATTCAGCTATGAAGAGTGTAACATCATGCACTCCAAGAACTCAGAATTGCTCTGAAATGGAAACCAAAAGGCTTAGGCATCCTGTGATTCACTAAACTTGTTAGCTTAATGTAGCAATTGAAAAATTAAATCTGTTTTTTCTGGGTGTGATCATTTCCAGTGGGCAGGGAAGTAAGTGTCACAGTCTAACATAATACACACTTTTGATTAGCAGGCCTTAGAAAGAGGCAAGCAGGACGATCAGAGGGATGTAACTGCTATTTTAGGAGGAACAGCTGGAAAGTATAGAATTCTTCAGAATGTCAGAGAAATGACCAAAGCACATTTTTATAATGACGACTATACTGGAAAAGGTAGGTAGAGATTGATGTAACTCACTGCCTCTTCCAGTACCAGAGCATTAATTCTAGCGTAAGGCTTGAAGGTGGCATGTGCAAAACCCAAGGAAATGAAGTTAAGCTGTGAAACTCCTCATCACAAGATGCTGTGGTAGCTGCAGATGCACGCAGGTTCACAAGGGATTTCACAAAGGAACAGTCTGTTTTGGATTGTTAAATAGACAGATGTGATCTCTGGCTCCAGAAGTCCTTGAACTACACAAAAATGGAAGCTGGAAGTCCTCTGGCCTGGCAAGGTACGGCTCTGATGTGCCTGTGAGAATGCACAGAAGTCAGATCTAGGTTTTTCATCCTGGTGAAGTGAAGGCTGAAAGGAAATGTTGCTGTCATCCAAAAAATACATAGTGATAGCAGACGTGGAAGAGGAGGGAGGACTCTCAAAGTTTAAGGACAGTGGAAATCAAAGTTGCTGGAAATGCACCAGCAGGAGTGGGAAACTCTGGGAGAAGCTCCAGTTCAGCGTAATGGGAGCAAAATGAAAGGGGGCGGGGGGGAACCAAACAAAACGGATCAGCCAGGTAT